CCTTTTCCAGGCTGGGCACCCTCCGGTACGCTCGTTTTCCCCGTCGGGTAACCACGCTCTGTGCCCGATATTCCCCGTTTTCACGGGCTGGAAACATTCCTTTTCCCGGCTGGCTGTTCCCTCTCTCCCAGCTGTGCCCGGTGCGCCCCTTTTTCCAGGCTGGGTACCCCTCGGTGCGCCCCTTCTCCCCCACTGGGAGCCCTTTTTGTGCCCAGTGTTCCCCGTTTCCACGGCTGGATCTTCCCTTTTCCTGGGTTGGGTGCCCTCCCCGTCGCCAGTGCTCCCTTTTTCCCTTTTTGTGTGCCCTCCCCATCCCTGATGCTCTTTTTTTCCCCTTTCTGGGTGCCCTCCCCGTCCCCAGTACTCGTTTTTTCCCCTTTTTTGTGCCCTCCCCATCCTTGATGCTCTTTTTTTTCCCTTTCTGGGTGCCCCTCCCGTGCACCCCTTTTTCCCACCTGGGAGCCCCAATCTGTGCCTGGTGTTTTCACCTCCTTTTCCCCATCTGTGTGTCCTCCCCTGGTCCCCACTGCTCATTTTCCCTAGCTGGGTGCCCCCCTGTGTTTGCTGCACCCCCTTTTCCCAGCGTGGGAGCTTTTTTTTGGGGGGGCTTTGGGGATCCTGACGGTGCCTAACGTGATGCTGTGCTCCTCCCCAGGAGAATGGCCATGTGATCTACAACGGGGACATGACCCCCAAAGTGGGGGTGGATGTGGCACCCCAAAATGGGAACGGCTCAGCTGAACCCCCCAAGGAGGAGAGCGAGGGTGAACCAGGAGGAGGAGGAGATGCCATCGAACCCGCTCCCCCCTCCGAAGGGGCAGATGCCAAACCCGAAGGGGCTGCAGCCCCCAAGGATGCCCCCAAGAAGAAGAAGAAGTTCTCGTTCAAGAAATCCTTCAAGCTGAGTGGGATCTCCTTTCGGAAGAACAAGAAGGAAGGTGGAGACTCCTCGGGCTCCTCTCCCACGGAGGAGCAGGGCAAGGGTGAGGAGAACCCCACGTGCTCGGTGCAGCCCTCGGCTCCCCCCGAGGAGGGCACGGAGGGGCAGGAGGGCAGCCAGGGGGCTGAGCCCAAGGGGCAGGAGGGAGAAGCAGCAGGAGGGAGCAAGGAGGAGGAGAAACAGCAGCAGCAGCAAGGGGAGAGCCATGGAGATCCAGCCAAACCAGAGGAGGCGTCGAAAGCCGTCGGGGCTGAGCCTCCGGCGAGCCCAGCGGTGGTGGAGCAGAAGGAAGAGTAGATCCCACTTGGCATGGTCCTCACTTGAGACTCTCACATCGTCCTCTCCAGCCCCTAACACCACAGACTCGCCTTGGCCTCACACCCCTCAGCCCTCCTAGAACTGACACCACTTTGCCAGACCCAACACGTTCCCCTCGAGGTATTTCTTTCCTCCCCTTCTCTCCCTTTTTCCCCCATCCCTGGTAGAAAGCTGGTTTGGATTCCCACCACTGCCACCACCACATGGAGTAGTTTTAACCCTTTGAAACTGTGGAGGAGGAGGAAGATTACCCTGGACACCACTGGAGTTTACAATTTGTAAGAACCCAAATTCCACCTCCTGCTCTGGATCTCTCCAGCATCTCCTCCCACAGCCTTCCAAGCCCCACTGACTGTTCAATGGATATGTTGGGTTTGTTTTTTTTTTTTTGGGTTTTGTTTTTTTTTCCCCCCCTCTTTATTTCTCAGTTTACATTCCTGGTTCTGACTTCATTTCAAGTCTTTTTGTGCTTTTTTCTAGAAATGGATGGTTTAAAAGCTAATCTGGGTTAGGTTTTTTTTATAATAATGTCTTTTATTGGCTTAAAAAACCATAAAGCTTGTAAGTTCGCTGTGTTTAATTCTGCTTCTAAGGGATAACCTTTGGGGTGTGGGGGTGGAGAGAGGGGGCCCTGCCAGCTGTATAATGTGAAGCAACCTTGTTTTGTTTGTTGTTTTTTTCTTTTTTTTCCTCTGTAAATAAGTTTTTTTAATGGCCAAAACACTTGATTTGCAATTTTCTAACTTGTAAAAAAAATACAAACAAAAAAAAAAAAGGGAAACAAAAAAAAAAAGAAAAAAAGCCAAAACCAAACCACAAAATGAAGCTGTATTTGGGCTTTTCTTGTAACATTGGAAAGGAATAAATGGTGACCCCTTTATGGGTGAGCTTGAGTCCTTCTTGTGCTGGATGCCAGGGAAGGGCCAGGGAGGATGGGAGTTGCTTATGGAGCTAAACAGCTGCTGCATTTAATCACTGCTTGCAGTTAATTGACTTGCAGCAGATGTAGAGCCACAGCCACAAAGGACTTTCCCACCCCAACCTCGGGATCACTGCTCAGTTGGCTGTTGAGTCTTGGTTTTGTGCAGATCTAACCCTTTTTTTTGTTTTTTTGTTTTTTTTTTCCTAGTGGGTGAATTAAAAAAAAAACACCCCACAGTATTTCTCTCACAAGGAGTGAAATTCCCATTTCCAGCTTGGGTTCTTTGATTGAAACCATTTTTTTTTTTACATTTTTTTAGTGGCTTTAGAGCCGGATTAGCTCCTCTTTGCTGAAAAGACCTCAGAGAGCACAAAAGCCTTGTGCTGGGAGCGGAGCTTTCCGTAACAAAGGGAAAAGGGAGGCACAATGGTGCCTCTATCCCTTCTCCTGTCACCTGCACAGGGATTTGAGGTGGTTTTTTCCCAGCTGTGCCAGCCCAGTTTGTGGCTCTGCCCCTCCATTTCATGGGCTGCTCCCAATTCCCAGTTCCCAGCTCAGCACCTGCTCCTTTGGGCTGGCAAAGAAGATGGAGATGAGCCACAAACCCATTGTTTGCCCAACTGGCACCACCTTGGCAAGGAACATCCATCCAGAGCCTTGAGGTAGGTGGAAATGCCCCCAAAAAAATAGGCAGAGCATCCTTGGGGAAGCCAAAATGTGGGATGTACTTCCCAGTGGAGCAGCAGGTTCAGCCTTAGAGATGGAGGGTGGGGGAGCAAAAATTGGTGTTTTTCACCCATTTTTTTCAAGGCAAAAAGGAGTGATTGGAGGGTCTGGCAGCTCCTGCACGGCTGGAGCTGCTGAGCAGTGCTGTGGCAGCCATTTTAGGCATCCCTGGGAGAGGGAAGGATGAGAGGGGCTGGAGGAGCTGCAGGGTGGGTTTTGTTCCAGGAGAGGAGGATTTGGTTTTGTGCTTTGGTGGGGAGAGGGATCACAAAGCTCTCCGTGGGTCTTGCAGTGCTGGAAGAGCTTTTGACTTCCCCTTTGGTTCTTGAGGCCATTTCAGGTGTGCTCAGCACAATGAACCTGCTCCTGCAGCTTTGTTCCCCCCAAACAACACAGCAAACCACTTAAATTCACCCAAAAGAGGAGTGAAGTTCATCCCTTTGCCATCATAATTCCTTTTCTAGATGATCTTTGAGCAGCAGAAAATGCTGCAACTCCAAACCAGAGTTGGAAGGGACCCTTGAGGATCATCTACACCCAAACCCAACCCAATTAGCACCCCAAATCCAATTAGCAGCAGGGATGTGGCTGGATGAGAATCCAGCTGGAATTTAGGACAGGAAAAATGCCCCAGTGACCTTTAGTTGAGGCTGGGATAAAATAAACTCCCCCAAATTGGTGGTGGTTTGACTTAGATTTCTGAAGAGAAGAGGCAAAAGGGGAATTATCTTTTCTGAGGAGAAGGGACACAGGGGGAATTATCTTTTCTGGGGATAAGGGACATAGGGAGAATTTTCTGGGGAGAAGGGGCACAGGGCAAATTTCAAGGCTGCTTTGTAAAAAATGGGGAAAAAAAAAACCAAAACAACAAAACTTAAGTTTTTCCAGAAGGAACGACAGCAATTTTTCAGGTGGAGCATAGAGTGTGTTCTAAGTAAAATGTCTTGGTGGATGGAATTAAATCAACACTTCTAGGGCCATTCCTGAAAGAGAAGTTAATGCCTCCCCTCAGTTTTCATCCCCAAACCTTTATTACAAGTGAGATTTGCTGTTGGGCTCTGTTACATCACCCTCATGTCCAAGCCCTGACCACAAAGTGCAGGAAACAGGACAGACTCACCCCAACCATAGAAATGTACCAGTTTTTATTACAAAGCTTCTCAAAATTCAAAATAAACCATCTTTAAAAAACCACAATATATTTCCCCCCTCCCTCCCCCAAGACACAAAGTTACACTGATGTCTCTCTGGTTTCACATACAAACACTGAAGAGCAGGAGTGACACATCACTCGGATCCAAAAAAGAGGCTAAAAAACGGTGGAAAAGGGAAAAGAAGTCTCTTTTTTTAAAAAAATAAACCCTTTGAAAAATAACCTGTGTTGAAAGGTTAGCAGCATTATTAAGAGTTGAAACCCTCAGCAGTGCTCTGTGGGAGGTTCCAGATCCTCTGAGGGCCAGAGGAATCCCCCTGAGAAAGGAGAGCAGCGAGTCACAACTGCCTGGAAAAGAAACTTCTGCCTAAAAGGTTTGGGTTTTTTTTCACCTAAAAGCTAATGATGAGCTGGACAAAAAAAAAAAAAAGGGGAAGCAAAAGAAAGGGCAGAGCTGGTCACAAAAGAGCTTTTTTGGGGGAGTAATGTGTGGGAGGAGGAAAAGGAGTTGTGTTCAGAGCCCCATCTGCTGTTCCCTCAGGAAGGCAACAGAGCTAAGCTGGTTTTTGGGCTTTACTGGCCTCGAGAGGAAAAGTTCCAACTGAAAACTAGAAGTTTTTCACTGAGTTAACACAGCAAGCAAAGTTTTCAGCCAAGCTCTGGCCTGGCCTTTAGGGAAATCAGGGATTTCTGCAGTGGTTTCAGCCCAGGACATGGATCAGGACAAGCAGGAAAAGCAAAGCCAAAGAGGCAGTAACTCACTTCCCCCCAGAGAGGGGCACAGGTATAGAAAAACAGGTATAAAATCCCATTCCTCCTCCTCCTCCAGGTGCACAATGCTGCCAGACTCACTGGATCTGCAAGATCTTGGAAAACTGAACCACCTAAGGGTGATTTGAAGTTTGCATTTTTCCAGCTCTGAGCTCTGGGGTTGATTCACTGGGAGAGGGGGGAGGGAAAAAAAATAAAAGCACTTTGCAGGTTGTTTTTTTTTTTAAGCTGCTTCATCTCTTTGCACAAGTCTGCTGCAGGGAGGTAGCCAACTCTGTTCAAGAACTGCACTATTTGACCCTGAGAAGTGGCACCAACTTGCAGGTACTTGCCGTGATGGAGTCAAACTGAAGACTAAAAGGAATAGTCTCTCACAGGCTTCATTGGGGGATTCATCTTCTCCCATAAAACAAAGAAAAGAGGAAAAAAAACAAAAACCCACAACAGCAACACCAACAACAAAAAAAGAAAAGGATTCATGGCCATCTTTCCACCTAACCTGAAATGCAGATAACTACTACTACTTAAATTATTCTTTTTCCAAGGTTAATTCAAGAGGAGAGAGTCAAGGAAGGAGGTGATTTCTTTAGGGACACACTAAGGAGGGCAGTGGAAGGCAAGAGTGAAACTTCCCAGTCACCAAATGTGGGCAGTGCAGGTGTGGCTGCTCCGTGGAATCCTCCCTGGCTGCCCCCAGGGGAGTGCAGCGAGGAATAATTTACAGTTCTCGAGTCATTTATACAATTATATAGAAATATATACAGAAACATATATAAAATATAAATCCTGTGGAATGGGAGGTAACCCAGGAGCTAACCTACAACAACTACCCCTGGACAGCACTGGACAGCTGCAGCCACCTCAGGTGGATTTTGTCTCCTCCTTCACCCTGGGGGAGCAAAAAAAGGGAAGATTTTGGTTTGAACAAGGTGTAATGACAAGCTGAGAGCTGCAGCCTTAAAAATGTAGCTTCTGTGGCTCATTCTTCAGCTAAAACTGGTGTGGTGGTTTAACCCCCAAGCTGTAATATGGTGGTTGTGTCACACTGCTGAATGAAGGTGCAGTGGTTTGAGTTTTAACTTCATTTTGGAGGCCTGAAAAGGCTCTCACAGCACTTTATCAGGTGATCTGCAAACTCCTTCCCATCCAAACCCTGTGACAATGCCCCCCCACAGCCCGAGGCAGGAGCCAGGCTCACCCTTTGGGTTCTGCTTTCTCCTCTTTTGCCTTTTCCTCTTCTTTCTCATCTAGGAAAAAAGAAGACACAGGGTTGTGCAGTAGGGAGGGACACACCAGGGATTGCTCCCCAGGGCTGGGAGGGGTTTTGGTACCAACTGTCCTGCTCACCTTTTTTCTCCTCACCTTTCTTCTCCTCTTCCTCCTTCTCATCCTCTGTTTTCACTCGTTTGGCTTTCTTGAAGTTGGCAACGTTTTTGCGTCCTCCTTCCCCTTCGTCCTCAGAGTCAGAGAATTCCTCATCACAGGATATTCTCTTGTCAGAATTCCGGACTGAGGGCAGAGCACAGAGCTTGGCTGAGCAGATTTCCAAGGCAAGAGAGCCCAAGCATTGACTCCTCTGAGCACATTTACTCACTGGAGTGCACTAAGGAGCCTAAGGCAGGATTAGGCCATGATAAAAAAACCACTTTATCTCTGTACCTGCTGCATCCTTTGCCTCAGCCCTCCCAACTGCTCCTCCAGCATCACACGGACAACTTGGATTAGGTGCAGTGTGATGTCTAGACTTGACAGCATAAGCAGGTTAACCAACCTCCCTCCCACTGCAAAATCTGTCTGCCAGATCTAAAGGCCAATCTGGATACAAACCTCCCTTCTCACTGTGGAAAGACAACTGGGATCACACCTGACAGTCTCCCAGAGAGGATTCTGTCCCAGCACCTGGCTGAATTCTCACATTAAAGGCTAAGGGTTTCCATTATGGAAACCACCTGGCAAAGGAAATCCATCAGCCCTGCAGTGCTCAGCATCAAGGGCTTTATCCTAACTGATCAGTCAGAGAGCTGGGAAGGATTCAAACTGGAAGACTCCAGGATGGCTCTAAATCCCACATCCTCCTCTCTCTTTATTAAGGCACTAGAGACACTTCAGGCTCCTCCAGCTCATGGATCCTGCTCAGCCTTGGCACCCACAGCACAATTCCCAGCCCAGGGACAAGCACATACTTGAAATCCTTTTCTCAGGATCTTCTTCCTCTTCATCTCCACTGTCTTCCTGCACAGCATCCTCGGGAATGGGCTGCATCTGGACCCCAGGAGCATGGGGCAGCATGCGCAGGTTCTCGAAGAGACGTTGCCTAGAGCCACCCAGGAAAGGAAAATCTCAGTCTGCAGGTGCCAAGAGCCCATGGAAGGGTCAGTGCTGAGAGCAGCAAACACTTACTTGATCTTCTCGAGGTACTCGTTGGTGTTCTGGTTAGTCATGTTGGAGGGGCTGATGTGGAGCTTGAAGTCTGGGCCAAAGTACTCGAAGTAGTCATTATATGGAAGTTCTGCAGGGAAGATAAAAGGAATGAACAGCAGATCAGGGTCAGTTGGCTTGGAAGGGATCACAGTGGGTCAGCTGGGCCAACCTCACAGGATCACACAGGATTGCACCAGGTGGCTTGGGAGGATCTCCAGTGAGGGAGAATCCACAGCCTCTCTGGGCAACCTGTTCAGTGCTCAGTGACTGCACAGGAAAATTCTTCCTCATACTCAGCTGGAAATTCCTTACTCTCACTAAATCATCACTAGAATCAAACCAGAACACCTACTGCAAACCAGGGCAGCCAAAAGCTTTTCCACAGCAATAACCAGGAGGTAATGAAGGTCACCTTATAGTTTCATATTATGTTAAAGGGTTGGAATGAGAGATCATCTAGTCCCAAACCCCAGATACCTCCCACTAGCCCAGGATTCCTTAGGAATCCCCCTTAGTATTCCTGCCCCTCCCCCAGCAGCAGCACTTCCCTGAGCTCTGTCACTACAGTGTCCCTTAGTCTCTTCTAAAGGCTCCAGGGGAGAATTACCATTGGGGATTTCAGTGTCCAGAGCCACAGCAGTCTCATAGGTCCAGCACCTGGCCACATTCCTGATGGTGTAGCCTCCTCCTCCCAACATCAGCATGGGCAGATTAAAGCTCTTCACAAACTCCACACACTTGGCATGACCTGCAGTGGGGGGAACAGGGCACCCTCATGGCATCAGGAGACACTTTTCCATGAGATCTCACTCTCTCAGTGATGCCAGCTCAGCAGAGAGTGTGCTCTTACCTTTGATGGTGAGGTTGAAGCAGCCCAGTCTGTCTCCAGACAGGGAGTCTGAGCCACACTGCAGGACAACTGCGCTGGGCTGGAATGTCTCCATCACCTTAGAGATCACCTAAACAACAAACCCCTTGTTGCACACTCTCCACAGGACACTGTCCCAGCCACACAGTAACACCCATGTCAGCCAGGGCCATGAAGACATCCCTGCTGTCCCCCCAGCTGCCAACTCCCCTCTCCTGGGAACACTGGGGCTCTCACACGGAGGAGCTCACTGACAGGCTGCAATTGTTCAGGGGGAATAGAGCCCCTGGTGAATCTTATCTCTGCAAACTGAATGAAGTCTCCCCAAAGAATGGCTCCAAGGACAAAGTGTGATGCACAAAGAATCCCTCAGCAAAGACCTCTTCACTTACAGGCTTGAATATTGCCTCGTAGGACTCGTCATCGATGCCATCCCGCAGGGGATAGTTCACAGCATAATAT